AGATAATGATATGGTTGATCCTAGCCAAATAGTCATACCAACAGAAAAAGAAAATTTCAGGAGTAAATTATGTAGGTTTTGTAACATATATTGATCCGATTAATACTCTAATAACTGGTCTTACTTTCATTTTGTTTATACACTTGCATTATAAATCTGAGTCCTCTCAAATCTATAATTAGCCACCAGCAATATGAGAACAGTGACCCTAAGTCTTTAACCAAAGCACTAAGGACACTGATATGTCATCATGTAACTGGATCCTACAATCTAAGAAAGACCTCAAGAAAGGATGATAAAGGAGACTTTAATTCACAGAGTACTTCCAAAATGTACATAGTTAGGTTTCCAGATGCCAAGATAATTCCCTCTGATTGAAGGAAAGATAAAGGCCTTTCTCCCTACCCTCAGTGGTAGGTATACCAGGAAAACAAAGACTTTCATCTTGAGGTGGGATAATAAAGGTAAAAGAACTGCTCTGAAAATATGAATCAGGTCAGGAGAAAAAGTTTTCATCTTTTTACAAAGGATCCTGAAATTTGGAAGAGAAAGACTAAAATAACTCTTAACTCTTTTAAGAAATATCACCTAAGGTCATGAGAAAGAAGGACAAAATCAGAGTTATTGTCTCCTCATTCCTGGAGCCAAATGTGCTGTCTCTTGACCTGCTGTCAAGTATCTGAGACAGAAATTGGTGGAGCAGAATTTAGATCAGAGCCCAAAGCACTCCTGCTGGAGACCATGGGAGCAACAGAAGCAGCTGCTGCATTAAACCAAACACCCACTGAAGGGAGGCCTACATCAATCAACGCCCAAGTGGGAAACAGAAACTATATCACAGAACTTCACAGAGAAGATTTAATATAGGAATTGGTTAGACAAGTTTTAGAGGACCATAAGGGCATGAGGCAAACACTGAGATGATACAGAGATAGCAAGTGCAGAAGGAAGCTTTATCTCCCAGGTCTGGGGGAACCAAAAGAGAGCTTAGAGCTGTTGTAACTGAGAAGTCCAGAGAAGGTGCTCCACTGAGCTGGGTCAGAGACCTCTGATGAGAGTGTGCTTCCTGGGTAGCTCTGTTCTTCTTAGGAATTAAGAGACTCCATGGAGCTAGGATTCAGGCCTCTGAAGAACAGGCACTGCTCAGAGAGTGTTGCTTCCTCAGGACTTTGGACGAGAGAGCTCCCACTGAGCTGGGATTCAAACCTCTGAGTAGCAACATTGGTGACCACATGCCAGTGTCCCTGAAAGGCAAATGAGGCTGCTCCTGTAAGTGGGAAAACTGCAGCCATCTGCTGCCACTGGGCCAAATCATTACTGTAAAGTTAAAAAAAAAAACAAAAAAAAACAGCATCAGGGCAATGCTGACTGAAGCAGGAAGCAAGTCCCTTCTGCCTCTAGAGTTTCAATCTTTCTCTAGGGACCCCTCTGGGCAGAAACTAACAGAAATTCAGCTGCAAAAGTGAAATATGGTTTGCAGAACCCCAGGCCCAGAGCCCAGATCTGGAGTTAGAGCTGAGAAACAATAGGTTAATAATGAACCAGTTGCTGTCCAAGCAACTCAAGACCTCACCATCTCAACTATCTCAAGTAGCTACCCCAGCACAGAGAGAAGCAGGAGAATGTGGTGTTTCCCGGTATGTACATCCACACATAAGTCATGCTGAGTAGATTAACTGGCATCCCAAAGAATCTTAGTGGAGGTTGGATTACAATTTGGACTCTGAGATTTTACACTGTCCAATACAGGAACTATGGATGGCAGTTTTGTTTCAGAAAGCACACATTTACAGTGCTACCTAATCACCATAATTTGTTATAATTCAGAAAAATGAAGCATTCTGAAGGAGCTCATAGTTCTCATAAGTCTATTACAGGCAGGGCACAAGGGGTTAAAGTGGAAAAGATTGCATGTTGGAGCACACAACAGCAGATCAACTCAGTATCACACTACCAAGAGATTCAGACTCCGATGTATGGGGAATACCCGCCTATCAAAGACCTGAGGCTTGCTTACCCCCAAAAAAAGGACAAAGCAAGACAAAATCATGACTTGGTCCTCAAATCTGACATGGGACCAATATAAGGAAACACTGCCCTCAAAAGTCCAGACAGTTTCTTAATCTCATGATTTTCTAGAGAATGCCAGGTGTACTCTCTAGCTGAGCTGACAACATAGTAGGACTGAGCTATGGTGCCTGGATAATGGGTAGAACTCTCAACTGAGGAGGCTGCTGGGCTCACTCCAGCTGGTTGTGGTGGACTAAGGACTAGCCCTGACTCTGTGCTCTGTCCCCTCCCAGACAAGGTGAGCCAAATGCCTCTTGCTTGCTTTGATGCAATTCATGGAGGCTTTTAGATTAAATTTAAAAGATAAAATAAGAACCTGCTCCACACAACCAAAAATTAAACGTGATGGGACTTCTTCACCCTTACGAATCCCTTTTACTGGAATAAATGCCTGCCCCTGCCAGATAGGGCTCTCAGAAATCCATATCTGGAGAAATGGGTCAGGTCTCTCCTTTCATTAAGTAAGTGACAGACATCACTGTACCAGTTCAGTAGCTCTGACAAAGGTTAGTAGGATCTAAATCTGTGTCCTCTGCTGAGACCAGTTGCTACCTCTCAAAACATTTTCAAAAAGATTGCTCTTCTAGACCCACTGTCAGGTTGGACAAGAGCTGCAATGGGCTTGCTCTTTGCTCACAAAGTCTCTTGTCCCAACCATGAACAGTGGCAGAAAGTGAAGTCTATAATAGGCCCTAATATATACTTTGGTGGGTAAGAGCATACACTTCAAATTCTTTGAGCTTTTGCTGAAATCCTACCTCCACCTCCCACTCATTATGTAACTTGGGTGTATTACCTAGTCTCATAGTGTTACTGGAAAACTAGTAGCTGTGGTGGAAGTGCACACCAGCAACCACAAACCCCAAAAGTAAGAGATGCTGGTTGGCTTTAGATCAGCGGTTCTCATCCAGAGACAATTTTGCTCTCTCCTCACCCCCAAGGAGATTTGGCAATGTCTAGAGACATTCCTGATTGTCACAACTGGAGCATTTCTACTAGCATCTAGTTGGTAGAAGCCAAGGATGCTGCTAAGTATCTATGATGCACAGAACAGCTCCCACAATGATTCAGCCCAAATGTCAACAATGTCAAAGGTGACAGACCCTGGTGTAGCTGTACCCAAGGATCAATTCCTAAACTGAAGAAAAAGGAAGCTAATATAAAACACAAGAATACAACTACCTCATTGTCTGGAGCCAAAGGATAGGAATACGGCCTAAGTCTTCAGTTCATAAACCAGCCTCCACAGAGGGCGAGCTGGATGCACCACAGGCTCCTATCTTATCTCCCTCAGCCAGACCCCTTATCATATGGCTGTTGGTGTTGGCAGACTAATCTGGTGGAACACTTACATGAGATGTGCTTGAGTCAGGGAGGCCAAAAGGATAAGAGCTTGTGGTTGGGAAACATTTGAAGAAAGGATAGGCTTCCTTTAATTGATAGACATTATCAAAGACAAAAAGCAGAGAAATGGAAGTTCTAACATTTCCTCTCTGTGGCTCTTCAAAGAATCGATAATGTGAAGTCATAGTCAGAAAGTCATAGAAAATGCTTCCTGCTGGATGCCAGTGGAGTCATGAGTTTGTCTGCTCTAAATCACATGGATTAATTTTAAGAGATAACATATAGAGAAGCAAGACCAGCTTCTCTGTCTTGGCTAAGAAAGACAGATTGGTGGTGGTTCCGACAAAAGGAACCAAAAACAAAACAAAACAAAACAACTCAAGTATCAAGACTGTTGAAGGAAAAGAATGCATCTGTTCCTGGGAAGGCAAACTCTGGGCAAGACAGCACTCTGGCTGGTAGGGGTGCTCCCCCTGGATCTAGAGGCTACAGAGAGAAGGAGCAGCAGTTCATATAAGGCTCAGAGGTACAGAGCCTGAGACAGGGATCAAATGAACAGGAAAGAGAAGTGATCCAAAACCAAAAATGGACCTGTTTGTGTTTGAAAGAGCAGGAAAGAAAATTGGGGACTGATAGATGACAGGCTCCAGGGAGCTGGGAGAGAATCCATGACTAAGGGAAGTCCATCCATCATGAAGAACTCCTTCATTTGGCCTTTCCTGCACAGAGATGGTATCACTCATGAGCCTGAGGCTTCCTAAGATAAAGAGGATCCACTCTACATCAGAAACCACCAGAGGGGCTTCTCATTTGCCCATCCCTCTGCTGCTTCTCGCTAGGTCATTTTTAGAGAGTTGAATCCACTGCTTCTGCATCTTAACCCCCACCTACATTTTCCAGCTAGGCTCCACACACATCACCCTGAGGCAGGGGTGAGGGGCTGTGACATCCGAGTTTCCTTAGCTGCTCCTGTCCTCGGTAATCACTCACCAGCAGTATTATCTTAAACTTAGATAGCACTTGATATCATTGTCTTCAATTCTCTTGTTCAGTCTTGACAGCATCTCTAGATTTATTTATTTTCCCCATTACACTTAAAAGGAAACTACAGCTGAAGTGGACTGAGTGTTCTGAAAGAGTCTGAATTTAAATCCAGATCTCCTCAACCAGTATAGGGTTCCTTCCACACTACACATGTCTTCTCTGTACATCTGCACCACCCCCTGCAATGCAATGCTCTTATGCCTTTTCTTTTTACATTCATCATCATGTGCACTAGTGTATTCTTAGCCGAATTACCAATTTTCTAAGGATATAGATCAAATGAGTTTTGTTTTGTCTCATTGAGTAATGTGCTCTTAATCACTGAATACTCATTTAAGTATTTTTTATTTTTTTAAAAAATCCATTACAAAATGTAGAAAATATAAAAATTGCAAGAAACCAAGATGAATAACAATAATTGCTCTTCACAGCATGGTGAAAATCTAATAATCACACTGAGTCATTAATGGTAGTTTTCAAAGACTTATTCATTGGAGAGTCTCTGAGATGACTGTGGACTTCAATATGCAGTCTCCACAAAAGCTCCAGAAGACAGAAATTAATTTCTGGTGAAGGAGAAAAGCTTCCTGAGGGCTGCTTTGACCTCCTTGTTTCTCAGAGTATAGATGAGGGGGTTGAGAGTAGGGCTCAACATGGTGTACAGTACACCAGCCACCTTGCTCTTCTCTGCACTGTAGCTAGAGACAGGGCTTATGTAGGCATAGAAAACAGAGGTATAATACATACACACCACAAGGAGGTGGGAAGAGCAGGTAGAAAAGGCTTTTTTCTTTCCTTCTACAGTCCGCATCTTTAGAATGCTAGAGATGATAAAACCATATGACACGATGGTCATGAGGAAGTTCAATATGCCATAAAAGGCATCAGCCAGGACAATCATGATGCTGTTCACATAGGTGGAGCTACAGGAGAGAAGCAACAGAGGAGGGACCTCACAGAAAAAATGGGTAACGATATTGGGGCCACAGAAGTTCAACCGCAGCATCAGTCCAGTATGGATGGCTGTGTTGAAGGCACAGAGCACCCACACACCTGTGGCCAGCTTGCTGCAGAAAGCCTTGCTCATCATGGTGCTGTAATGCAGAGGGTGGCAGATGGCCGCATACCGGTCATAGGCCATGACTGTGAGGAGGAGCAGCTCAGAGGATGCAGCCCATGTGAGGAAATAGAGCTGGGCCATGCAGCCCCCATAAGAGATGGAGCTCTCCCCTGACATCAGACCCTCCAGTGCTTTGGGCATGATGGAAGAGGTGCAGATAATATCCATGGTAGCCAAGTTGAACAGAAAGAAGTACATGGGGGTATGGAGCCCAGAGTTGAAGCTGATGGCCAAAATGATGAGGAGATTACCTGTGAGAGCCACAGAGTAGAGGGAGAGGAAACAGCTGAATAAGAGCACACGGTATTCTGGGTGCTCTGAAAAGCCCTGCAAGATAAACTCTGTTACTAGAGTCTGGTTATTCATGGTCCTTGGGCCGAGAGGGATTTCCATGATCATCAGGCGAGTCTCTACCCACAGCTTCATGTGATTCCAGGGCTAGAGAGAGAAATGAGAGGTATCCTAAGGTAAGCTGCTACTGTGTTTCATTCATACCTGACATCATGGTATGTGCAATATTATACAGAGGTACTAGGACTTCTCAATGAAGACAAACATACCAATACGACATTAGGTAAAGTATGTGAACATGTAGCTCATAAAAAGTAAGTACAAATGACCAATTAATTCATAAAGCATCATTCAATCTCAAAGAAATGCAAGTAAATCAATAATCTATTCTTTATGAACCATGATTTGGCAAAGTTTGAACAGCATGGTTTTGACTAATGTTTTAGCATGGGTGCCAAGATTCAGGCCAAGATGTCAAGATTCTGGCTCAAAACTTTCACATCTAGGAATTTATCCTACAGAAATAATTAAGTCCATCTTCAAAGTGTCATCACAGCATTACTTATAATCCTGAAAATGTAACAGCAAGCTATACTCTTAAAGGTCAGTATGTTATGATATATTGATATAGCATAATGCTCTATATCTATCAAAATGATGCTCTAGAGGTGTTTTACTGATGTTTATCAAAAAGCATGAAGAAAGTTCAAAAGTAGTATGTACAATAGGATCTTATTTTGAGTTTAAGAAAAAAAATCATGTTTGTGTATATACCTGTAGAAAAAAACCAACTGATGAATGATAGACAACAGTGGAAACAGATTATATTGATTTAATTTCTTTGCCTTTGTTTCTCTGTATTTTCTAATTTTTCCATTTAAGAATCTTTCTAGGGGCACCTGGGTGGCTCAGATGGTTAAGCATCCAATGTCAGCTCAGGTCATGACCTTGGAGTTTGTGAGTTTGAGCCCCATGTCAGGCTCTGTGCTAACAGCTCTAAGCCCAGAGTCTGTTTTGGATTCTGTCTCTCTCTCTCTCTCTGTCCTTCCCCTGTTCATACTCTGTCTCTCTCAAAAATAAACATAAAAAAATTTTTTTAAACAATCTTTCTTACAGGCAGATCTGAGAGAATAGAGACCCTCAACTGTTACTCCTGGATCTACCACCTCTCCAGACAATGTTTTCCCTCGTGTCTCACTCTTCAAAGTCAAAGCTCCAGCCACACCCAGATCTCCCAGTCTGGCAAAAGCACCAGCCATGTCAGAATTTTGTGCAAATTTTGTGCAAATTTCTTGCAGCTCCCTCAGCCAGAAATGCACTCCTTCTCATGAACCAGGTCGATCATCATCCCCTCTTTTCCTAAAATTCCTTCCCTAGAGAAAAAGGACCACTCTCTCCTTTGTGGCCTCTCAGGATTCTGTACTGACTCCTATTCTAGAATTCATTAACACATCACCTCATAATTATGTACCCATCTCCCTTAAGATTGGGACATTTGCCTCATTCATTTCTGAGCACCTTTTTTTGCCTCCCAGCCCCATGTCTGGCATCGAACAAGTGGTCCCTAAAATACGTTTGTTGAAACAATAGCAAAGAACAGTCTGATACCAACAAAAACAGAGTGGTTTTTTATTCTCAACACAGTTTTCTATTCTCAAAACTAAATTCTTAAAGTTTAAGATGAAATCAGCTTGGTACCACATTTGCTTTTTTTCCTTCTTTTCAACTCTTCATTCATCAAAAGATTTAATTTTTTAAAAGGCGCTCATTTTCAATTAAGAATTCTGCTTTTTGTCAAACTTCAATAAATGTATTTACCACTGAAGCATTAAAAGGTTTATACAAAATGAGTAAATACCTATCATCAAATCATATCACCATTTTGTAAGGTGAAGACTGTTCTTTGCATAGAATGGCATAAAATTCCTCTGATTTAGAGCAATAGGCTGTGCTAGTGTAAAGTCTGCATAAAGCTAATGCAAATGATGGTCCATCTGTATCTTCCCAGCAGCAAAGTGTCAGGTCACTCAATTGCTTTGCTGAAGTTAATAAATGCAATATGCTTTATATGCAAAAATAGTGACTATTACTTTTGTACAGTCAGAGGTGGGGGTCTGGAAATTTTATTTGTTCCTCTGGAATTTTACTGGCTCCTCAACACAGTCTGTTGAGTGACTCCTGTTTAACCCCAGGGACCATTGTGAGACTGAAAAGCAGAGGCAGTCTGAAAAGGAACAGAGTTGGATTTGCCCCTTGGATGTCTCCATGTAAGGTTTTTGTACTTCCGATGAATGTCCTCCCTAGGATTCTAACAGCCTCATACCCCCAGTCATCATTCACATTTCACTCCATCAGACGGATTACAAGCCAGAGACTCATAATGCTGTGACCACACCCGGAAGGAGAAAGACACCTCTGTCACCAAACATTGAGCAGTAGTGTGTGGGTCTATCACATATCATTACCAGAGTATCAAAAGAACCTATTATGAATGAAACCCTATACCTAGTCTTTCTCTTAACTCAACTCCAGAGTGAGGATAGAAAAATAAATAAATAACTACAACATAAATGGAAGTTTTGAACAGGTTCTCAGCACAAGGAAATGTCAACAAACTGATTCACACTCAGGGAAAAAACTGTCCCTCAGATAATTGCCCTCTCAGTGTAATTTCCAGGGCAGTTGGACAGTCCCTCATCCAACTGATCAAGAGGAAGATCAAAGAAGAAGGGAGCTGAGACTCTTTCTGTGAGAAAATCTCTGAAATCTCTGTTGGACCTCAGCCAGTCACTTCCTCTTCTAAAAATAACAAAGACCTTTCTCTCCTGAGGTTCATAGAGCATTAGCTTTAATCCTCATCAAGCAGCACAAAATTATTATCAAAGATGTGAGGGAAAAGAAAAAGATCTCAGGTACCAATTGCCAAGTTTAAACACATACAACATGAGACTACATGACTCTCCACATGTGAGATGACATGACATTAAAACAGTGATTATTTTCCATACTTACCAGAACTTCTAGCACTCAAGTTTCAAAGAAAATAAAAATGCATCTTGTAAATTTGATCACTTTAAAGAAACAGCACAAAGTGTCCTCAAATCCCTGAAATTAAAAAGTCTGGTTAATTAGTTTTTCATACAAATAAGTTAAATCTCACATGAAAGACAATTTACTTTTAATGAAATTTCATCTTAGTTCTAATTTATTGTTCATAATTTCACAAGTGGAGAATTAGTGCTATCACAAGGCATTCAATTGATTATGGAGAAGTTGACTACTTCTATTATCTTTATCTCTAAAGAAGTTTGAGAATTTTCAGACACAATACAACTAATCCAAAGTCCATCTATTACATACAAAGGTAAATATTCCTATTGTAAACATAACTCAAAAGTAGAAAACTAAAAATCAGAAAATGCCGAAATTTTATCTTTTCAGGTTTAAATCTGAAAGATACTTTAAAGACAACCTAGTCCAACCTATTTTATTGTAAAGTCAGGAAGACATCTAAGTGACTTGTCCTAGTCACACAGAATATTAGTGACAAAGCTAATATCTAGTCCCAAGACTTTGGAATTCAAGCCTAGAATTCTTTGCTATGTAATTTGTTAGTTGACCCACTAAATCCAATGTCAAATATCAAATGTCAAAAAATGTCAAGAAAAAGAAAAATCAACCAAGAATCTAAATTATTATTATTTTGATTGAGGTGTGAATACAAACCCTAAACTCTCAGCCAGTTTTTATATCCTATTTGCACTATTATTTACTGATCAAATAGTAATAATACAAAGTGAGAAATCTATAAATGATACTAATTGGAGGTCTGCTAAACAAAAAATATCAGGTCTTATATAGTTCATGATAAAAATTAAGCAGACTTAGAGTTACGAGCAGAATTTTTCTCATTATTTTATATCACCCATTAGAATGAGCCATCTTCAGAATACTCCTTATTACCTTGAAAAAAATCTTCAGCTTTGTGGAGCTAATAGATTTTATGTATAGCCATCCTTTCTCCATGAATCATGATTGAGGTAGGAAATGTGGTGACACTGAAGAAGTAATCTAGGACAAGATCAGTACAGATGAAGGCTTTCTGCCCCTATTTAAGCTAATCTTGCCAAGAATTTGCGACTCATCTTCAGCAGAATTTGTCACTGCCTGTGGGAGACACTTGGGACACCTGTTCGCAGCTATTACTCTAAGTGGACCCTGAAGGAGCAATTAAGTACCACTTTGCTAGGTACCTGGCTGTCACTGGTGTTCATACAAAGGCCAGTTCAGACTTCTGATCCAAATATATGTAAAAGGGTGTAAGCTTCAGCAAAGAGCAGGACCAAACCTCTCTTCCAGTTCACATAATCTGGGGCAGTGCAGACCCAAGTTCTGGTGCTCAGACAAATGTGCTCAGAAATAGAGACTGGGAAGGGGGTGTCTAGAAGGCAGTTAGAATTTCTAGACTGCCTTTCATGGAAGTTTAAAGCTATGAAGCCAATGTCCCTGTGTTTCCTAGCATAAACCACCCCTACCAACAGAGCTGGTCCCCTCACTATCTTTCACTCATACCTTAGCTCCTTTACCAAGCTATCTTTCCTTCTCCTAACCCCATATTTTCTCTCCCTAACCAAATCCTACCCAGATCTATCTCCATAACCTCTACCAAGACTTCCCTGACTTCCTGGAGGGAAATGATCACTCTCTGATAAATCCCAGTCACATCCAAAGGCACTTTTGTGAGCTTTGGAGTCTTTACAGACCCAACGTCAAATCCCAAGCCTGAAACTTTCTGGTTATGTGACTTGGGGCAAGTCTCTTAACCTCACCAGGACTTAATTATAAAAACCACAAGACTTACCTCATTATTGTAGTAACTAATACATGAAAAGGGCTTGGCAACATTTTACCTCCTCTTCCCCCAATCTGGTACCTGTTTACATATATATATATATATATATGTTCTTCTATATGAGCAGAGAATAGGCTAGATATGTCTATTACTTTCCTCTTTATGAAAATGTCCTGAATATAGCTGACATTCAATGTTTAATTATTGATTAAGTGACTGATTAGCTTGGCTGTAGAGTTAAGTGGGTTTGCTATTAAAAGACACTTCAATCAAATGGACAAAT